TCTCTCTCTCTCTCTCTCTCTCTCTCATGTTTATGCAGTTTCCCTGGCAAGTGTTGTAAGATGACCATGATTTTTTTGAAGTTAATGAGTGCAATTAAAGAAGGTTTTAAAATATGTATGGCTTAGACATATTAAATTATAGTTCCGTCCTAATTTCTTCTTCTTCTCGATTGCATCACATTTGAAGTCCGGTATCTGTCATATTATATTGGACCGTCCTGCTCAGTCCATCTCTCGGCCTGTATAGGCTATACATATCTTAACTAATATGAGCGTTTACCTGGAGACTCTATCTTAGCAAATTTGGTTGTTTTCCAAAGGCACCCCAACCCGACAGACACACACACACACACACACACACACACACACACACACACACACACACACACTTACACACACACACACTCACGAAATACGTCACTTGTCAACTGTGTCTGTTCTTTAGACCCTAGCCCTGTGTTGTTTCTGTCAACCTCTCCTGCTTTTCCTAGCTTTAAATAGCTGTAGCCGTGTCGATGTCCTTTTAATTTTATTAACCTCGAACCAACAAACAAGCAATTGGCAGCGACGTATAGATCTGTGGGTGCTTGAAGCACGCTCCTACCTGTGTAGTTTTCTCCATCTTTCTCATCAAAACATATTATTGTACCGTCCTTATCTCTCCTCCTTCTTTACTTTGTGTGTTGCAGTTTAGTTGTAATACCTCTAATTTTCCGCACTTATGTAACTATTTGTGTAGCAAGTACCGTCAAACTCTTACTAAAACAAAACGCCTCTATTCTATGACACTTGTGTGGCCTTTTCAAGTGACGTGAACCCTTTACTAAAACTTTAAAAACTGTCCAGAGCAAGGCAGTCTGTATATGAGACCTGGATGTCCTTTAGAAGAGGAGCATAATATTAAGCAGGGGTTTATGAATCTAATTCATTGAATTTAATAACCACGCACGGGACCTTATAAACCATTATTATAGAAATTTGTGAGAGAGGGAGATTGGGTGATTGTCATTTCGACTAGATTATTACTCCCCCTTCGACACAGTTTGGATCATTTAGGAGGCGAGTTTTGATTCTGCCTGTCAGGGCCAACTCTTGCTGAGAGGGTTACGTCGCACGAGCAGAAAGAGTAAGATCCTCCTTAAAAGAAAAATTCCACCAGCACGAGAATAGGTACTTTTAAGTTTGGGGAAACATACTACATTGTATCAACATGTTAAAGTGAGCCATGGTGTCAAGATTTTAAACTGGTTTTAAAGTGCACTTTTAAAAATCTTTTCAGTATAATAATTGTATCAAGAGTTTTGCTGCACTTGGAACACAATTAGGTCAGAGATTTGAGGTATTACGATAGAGTAAACTACATGGAAAAAATTGAGAAGAGAGAAACGACTATATATTGGAGGCAGCGTCGTGAATAAGGCGCTCTTCAAAATAATGAAATTGAAAAAAACGGCATTTTGCCTCCGATTTGGCAACTTAAAAAAAAATTTAGGTTTAGTTTTTGGGCTCATCACTCTTTATGTCCATTTAAAAACACATTTCTTTGTGAATTTTACTGAAAAACGTTGATTTTAAAGCACACAAAAACTATACATCTTCAGTTTCAAGGACTCACAAGCTATGGAGTTCATCGAACTTTTGCGGACATTTTTTAGCTCCTTTTACCACTGAAACCTGGCGACCCCCC